CAGTAAAGGCAAAATTACTTGTATTCTTCGGAAGAACTTTCACAAGACTGGAGTCTTTAAGTTTTTTGTGCCCTTCTATTATTTTTGACACTTCCTTCAGTACATTATTAAGAAATTTTTTTATGGGAAACTGCTTTTTTAGCTTCCTGGATGTTCACTTGATCTGTATCATCGTTTGAGCTACTTGTGGGAATTAGCTGAGACTATCGACTGCGGTAGGTCCAGAATTTAGACATGGCGAGTTTTGAATATTGCAGTCTGCCAAACTCAAAGGTGATCAACAGGTCTGATGACTGTGCAACATACAATAACAGTAGAAGTGGATGGAAATATAACAAAAATGACAGTACAGCTCAATAGTATATAACATAATCACTGAAAAAGAATGGAATCTTTTCTTTGGCCTATTTCTAGGTAAAGTTTCAATATCTTGAGATACTTTTGCTAGCTTCTACTATCGATACTTCGATAGTGAGCCCACTTCCTTAAAAGGGTGACAAACTGCTGCCATGACGACTGCTGTGGGGATTGTCTATTCAAGGCTAAAGAATCTTACTGCTATTCCGTATATTTTTAGCTCCTAAGCAGTTTTTTCACGGGTCACTAAAATTGGTTTCTGTCCATTAGAAACAAACTAACAGAATAGCTGCAGGGTTTGGATTTACAAAACTATGAAGCTGGTTTAGAGCAAAATAGTTCCTCTAGATCTTTGAGACAAGCAAAAGTCTCTTAACATGGTGAGCAATACCAAGGTGAAAGTCGTCATCAAAAGGTAAATTGGGCAGCCAAGAGCAAGACCCTCATCGGGTGAAATGTTGAAGGATCCATAATCCTTTTTGATGTTGTCAATTATTATGAGAATGATCTTGCTTAATATGGTTTGCCATCATACCTATTTTTTAAAACATTTTTATTGATTTGCCTCGTGCAAGAAGATAGTACTTGATATATCATGACTAACCTATGTTCACTCTTGATTGGTGATTGAGAGTATCAGCTATGGCATTATTAGTTGTCATTTTAGTCACTGCTTTATACAGTTCCTGATTGATGATTGGGACTTGAGAATATAAATTGTTTAATTAAGAAATAAAAAAGTCAATAAAAAACAACAAACATGAAATAACAATGGAAAAGAGATAGGTAACAGAAACGTAATTTAATGGATAGACACTGTGCCTTGCGTTTCCACTTATTTCTTTTGATTTGTATTGTTTTAGTTTTAAATTTTCTTACATCTCTTTTCATCTTCATGCTATTTTCGTTACATCTTCGTGTTTAAAGTTACACATACACAAGCACACATTTTTCATTAAGTGTTTTCAAAGTTATATTTTCTCTCTTTTTCCTTTAATACCGTATTTTGGAAATTCAATGATAATTGATACCCCAAATACAAAAGTAGAGAAAAAGAATGAACATGAAAGATAATGCAAAGATGTTATAGAAATACAAAACTAAACCTTGTGTTGATTTTTTATTTGTTTATGACTCTTATTACTTTATAAAGTATGAGAAAATAATGAAGCAGGTGAGAAATAGAAGAAAAGTCGAACCTGCATGTTAACCTTCAAGACATCGAGAGGGGTAATGGCGAGATGAGTAACGCCAGCGCTGAGCATTCCTCCAGCCGTACAGAGTCCGTAATACCCAGCTGAGAACTCCTCGCACCATCTTTCTCCTTCTACTCTTTCCAATTGTGATTTCTTCAGCATTTTCTTCTTTTTTTTAACTTTACTCTACCAACCCTGACCTAGTCGATTGCCTCTTAAGTAATGGTGGTGATGCTGAAATAAAACCAGTAATGTAATTGAATGAAAACTTGGAACTTTGGAGGCCAAGAGCTTTGGAGCTTTCTCTTGCTCCAAACATGTCCACGTCTTCTACGGCAAAGATCCAAATTTGCCCTCCATTAATAGTTTGGGTCAAAGATACCCTTGCCGTTATGCCCTTGTACACAATTTGGGACATGATTTGAATCTAATTAGTCTCTAATTAATCGAATTAGCAACAGAAAAAGCCACCTGTCCAAATTTTAACCAAAACCCCTGTAACGCCCCCCCCCCCCCCCCCCCCAATCACACCCCTTAATATTTTGTCAGGCCCTTTCCCCGTAATCCGAGCTCACCGTCGCCGGCAACTTCATCTCCATGCTCGACTGATGAATACAGTATTCTCCCATATAAAATCACCCGTCATCAGAATTAGTTTTCAAAAATTTACACTGAGAAAACGAGAAATATTTACGCTTCAAGAAGTCAACTTTCCACATACTAGCTTTCCAAGCAATCAAATTTTTCCCCATAAATCGGACCCAAAAATTTACAAAAAAAGACACCATCAAACTTAAAACATTTCGTGCTTCCTCAGAAAGAGCTTTTCAAATTCCTTAGGTGAAACAACTGGGCTTAGGACGCCGGTTGTGGTGTTTCTCTTTTCCATTTTTGATGGTTGACGGACATAGAGATTTTTCCGGTGAGGCTTTTTACTTTTGAAAGTGCTGTGATGGTTACAATTTGAAGAAATTTTCAGGAATGATGGATTATGGGTGCAAGGAAGGGGTCCGTCGGGTGTATATTTCATAAATCAAATTTCTTTGATGGGTCAGTGGGTGGAGGATTTCCTATGAAATTGTTTGAAAATCCACCGTCTAATTGGAATGGGGAGTAAATTACACAATTTTCGTTGTTGTTGTTTGAGTATAATTTAAGAAGAGTGATTACACTTTTCAATTCTCGTAGACTAAAAATTGGTAGATGACTTTCAAATACTTTTTTTTCTCTCTTCTAAATATTATACTATTATTCTTTTTTTTTTAAAGGAAACTCTTGCTGATTGCTCTTCCAGTTCGTGTAGATTCTTTCCTTCTCCTTAGCACCGGGTACTATTGTTTTCCTCCTCTTTTTTATTTTTATTGCATACGTAATTGTAGTACATTAGTACTTGACTTGAACTAGTCTATGTTAAGGGTGAGCACCGAAATATAAATTTTTTGAACTTTTGGTTTTGATTTCGGATTACCCGTTTAATTTTTAAAAGTTTTAAATTTTGAATTGGATGTTTGATTTGGTAATTTAAACTTTTTGGATATCCGAAAATCTAATTTTTTTATATATTATATTTAGTCTATTATCCAAATGCAAATAGTAATAAGTCTAATATCTACCAATTATATATTATCTCATATATTTAGTACTAATTATTAAGTTACTATCAGAATACTTTCTATTTGGACATGATTTTACTATTACTAATTCTTATTGGCCTTATTAATATATTTGTTTGCATTTCCTTGATGATAATTTCAGTACTTGAATATTTATTTGGATGATTGCAGTGAAAATAAGAAACTTTTTATGCAATTTAACATGAATACTTCATTTGGATATTTATTTTTGTAAGAATAAGAAACATCTTAACTAATATGCTCAAAACCAAAAATTTGAAATATCCAACTCAATTAACCCGAAACCGAACTATGAAAAATCTTATCCAATCGAGCTTATTTGGATTAGATTTGAATGTCATTTCTTCAATCCGAAGAGTCGCCAATTCATTACATGTTAGATAAATATTTTAGCAAATAAATATTATGTCAGTATATGTAACGACCCGTCCGGTTGTTTTGAGCTCTAGCGCGTCATTCAGCGGTTTGAAACCTTGAGTAGCTTCACTTCAGGTATTATGACTTGTACGTGTGGTCGGAATTGAATTTCGAGAAGTTCAGAGTTGATTTGGAAAGGAAATTTTTATTTCAGAAATTTTAAGTTGGAAAAATTGACTAAGGTTTGACTTTTGAGCAAAAAATCTCGGAATCGGGATTTGAAGGTTCTAATTGGATCGAATGATGATTTCGGACTTGGGCGTATGTTCGGGTTGAGTATCGGACCACCCTGGAGCATTCTGGCGCCTATTATAAAAGTTGGCATTTTGAAAATTTAAGAAATTCTTATGTTTGATTTGAAATGAATTTTTTGCGTTATCGATGTCCGTTTGGAGTTCTGGGCCTTGGAATATGTTCGTATCGTGATTTGTGACTAGCATGTAAAGTTTGGCATCATTCCGAGATGTTTGAGTGTAATTCAGACACGTTCGGCGAAGTTTGAAGGTTGGAAAGTTGAAAGAATTCGAGGTTTCGACTAAGTCCGTATCGTGTTGTGGGATGTGTTGGTATATTTGGACGGGGTCCCTGGGGCCTCGGGTGCGAATCAGATTGGAAACGGATCGAGTTTGGACTTGGAAGAACTGCTGAAGCTTAAGGCTTCTAGTGCGATCGCACTTGCGAGGTTATGGCCGCAAGTGCGAGACCGCAGAAGCGGCCCATGGGTCGTAGAAGCGGTAGGGAGCGAGGCTAGATGGGACTCGCAGATGCGGGCGGAGAAGCGCATAAGCGGATTTGCTAGGGAAAGGCTGGGACAGCAGGTGCGATCGAGTTTCCACATAAGCGGAACCGCACCTGCAGATGAGGCGTCGCAGAAGCGGCCAGCGACCTGGCATGGGTCCTCGCAGGTACGAGATTGAAGCTACAGAAGCGACATTTTGGACCGCAGAAGCGGGATATTCTGGGTAGTGTGTGTTTTTAAAATGGGGGTTTGGCCCATTTTCACTTCATTTCGTCCATGGGAGCCGATTTTGGAGCAATTTTGGAGTATCATTTTCATCATCTATTATTAGGTAAGTGATTTCTTCATATTGTGAGTTAAATACATGGTTTATATATGGACTTAAGCATGAGAATTTGTAGAAATTGGGATTTTGGTAGATAACCTAGAAATTTGTATTTTTAGATTTTGACCATGAATTGGACATGAAATCTGTAATAAATTATATATTTGATTTCGTAGTGTTATGGGTAAAATTTATATTCGAAAATTTTCGAAATCGGGGCACGTGGAACCGATAGTTGATTTTATTGATTTTCGAGCGGAGTTGAGAATTTTTATAAATTGTTAAATGGTAAGCATTGGAGTATATTTTGATTGAATTATACGTGGTTTGACTAGTTTAGAGACGTTTGGCTTTGAGTTGAAGTGTTAGAGAGGCGTTGGAGCCGGTTATGAAACTTCGAAGTGAGGTAAGTCTCTTGTCTAACCTTGTGAGGAGGAAACTATCCCCTAGGTGATATTTATTGTTATGTGCAACTAGTTGTGGGTGCTACGTACGCACGAGGTGACGAGAGTCCGTACGTAGCTAAAGCATGTTTATGTCCGGGTAGACTTAGGACTTTATCATGTAATAATTGAATTATTTGAACTCATTCTGCTGGCTTAATTAATTAAAGTTTTAACTAAATTTGATTTAGAAATAAATATATGTATAATAGGTCGAGCCTTAATACTTTGAGTTGTGGGTGAGTTATTTGAGAAACGGTAAAGATTATATTCATTTTGTGCTCATGTACTGTATTGTAAACACGTATCTCGTAATTTGGTAAGTTCCTTCCTTTCTTGTGGAGCGGGCCGAATGCATCGGCAGTATAATAGATGCATCTATGGTTCGTGTCGCTCGACCCTCGGCAGTGTACACATTATTCTAGATCAGGTCGAACGACCTTGGCAGAATCGTGCGTTATATCGGTACTAGTCCGAATATTCACGGGATAATCTTTCCACTGATGCCCCGCATTTTATATGGTATTCCTTATTTATTTGATATTGGCACTTTGCATTTTCTGAGCTGTTAAGGTAGAATACAAGATCGAAAAATTTATACTTTAAAAGAAATATTTGGAAGATTATGTAATTTACAGATTGACCACTATCGATGTGCACTTCATATTTGTTATGAATTACTATATTATTTTATTGGACCTCTAGTAAGTGTCGATGTCGACCCTTCGTCACTATTCCTCCGGGGTTAGGCTAGATACTTACCGGATACGCATTGATTTACATACTGATGTTGCACTTCTGCACTAAATATGCAGGATCTGACAGGTTCATTAGGTGATCATTTTGGCGTGTGGGCACACCTGTTGAGGAGACTTTATGTGAGCTGCATTCCAAGCTACGCATCGCAATCCACTGAGTCTCTACCGTATTATTTACTTTATCATGTCTTATTTATATTCTGGACAGATGTTGTATTATTATTGTACTCCTTAGAAAGTGCTCATGCACCTGTGACACCGGATCTTGGGGTTATACTAGTTGATGTTTATGATTTCGTACATCATTAACGCCTTTCAATTCTTTTATAAACTACATATGTTGTACATTCCTGTGGATTTAGGAGTGATTTCGAAACTATGATTTTGAAAGTAATCATATTATTAAAAACTATGATTTCAAAAGTAATAAAATGAGTAATTAAATGAATAAATCATTGTTGGCTTGTCTGACGGCGGCGTTAGGCGTTATCACGACCTATAGTGGATTTTGGATCGTGACTTTGCAATCTAATAGATGGAATAACTCAACATATATAGAATGCCAGAGCAATTAACACTACAACATTTTAGGATGTGATGACCCAAAAGGTCATCTTATGTTTTAGAACTCGAATCTACACTCTTAAGCCTTAAAAATCTCATTTTTACCCTCATCAA